ATATATATATATATATATATATATATATATATATAACTAAATAACGAACTTGGTTTACTTCATCATGTTTATTCTCAGACTACAAATCCTGTCTCTTATACACATCTAGATGTGTATAAGAGACAGACTTATGTGTGTATACGTACATAAAAAAAAGTTAAGTTGCTTACGTATTCTTTCTTTCCATGAATGGATAACCCCAAAGAGGAAGGGGAGGGGGTCCATGGTCATCCCCCGGGAAAATTTTGATCACTAGATGGCAGAAAATGAGCTTTACCGACTTGAGGTGTCTTTTAATGACTTGTAAGTTCTTCAAAATTCAAGGCTTTTCCCCCTCTTGAAAACGGTCAGGTAAACTTTCTCATTGTTATTACAGTATATAGGCCTATTTATGTGTGTAAGCGTAAATGTAAAAAAAAATTGAGTTGCTTACGTATTTTTTTCCATGAATGGATAACCCCAAAGAAGAAGGGGGGTATGGGGCCCTCCACGGGAAAAAAAATTGATCACTAAATGGCAGGAAATGAGCTTTCCCGACTTCTGAGGTGACTTTTAAGTTCTTTAAATTTTAAGGTTTTCCCCGCTTGAAAACGGTCGGGTAAACTTCTCATTCTTATTACTGTAAATACTAGTAGCCCTACTATGTGTGTATGTAAAGTACATGTACAGTCGCTGCATGCATATTCTTTTTTCAATAAATCGATGAACCCCAAATAAGACGGTGGTCGGGGGTCCTCCCCAGGAAAATGTTGGTTCTTAGATGGCGAGAAATGAGTTTTTCGGACTTCTGAAGTCTTTTAATCAAAATTCAAGGTTTTCCCCTTTTGTAAACGGTCTCATTCTTATTACAGTAAGTAGGCTTATGTGTGTACAGGTACACAGAGATATTTTTCCCCAAGGGGGTTCAGGAACCCTCTGATCCCCCCTCCCCCAGATCCGCCAATGGGGTATATCTTAATTTCTTTTTCTTTAATGATTGATGACACACAAATGCTTATGTATGAACTCACAGTCTCAGTGGCCTCATCCAGTGAAGACATAAGTGTGAAGATGTCCCAATGGTTGTTTCAAAGCATAATTTTAGCTCATTAATGCTATCATCTGACCAGATGCATAAGCAGAAGTGGTAGAATGAGGACAGTGGAGGCGCACACGGACCGTTACAAGTACTCATTTTACACAACTGGTATAAGGGAGTTTAATTTAAAGTATTCAAGAAGATAATTATATAGCAAGTGAGCAATGTAATTTCCAAAATTATTGGACAATAAAAATTAATCTGTATCTGCAATACAGATAAATCTGCCTTACGCAAGAAAAAACAAACAAACGAACAAACAAAATTCCTGACTTTGAGATTGGCAAATCATGCCGTTCCACTGTACCAAACCAATCTACAAGTCGATATAGTTATATTAACTAACCATTCAAAAACTTAGGTATCTGTTTGTAGTTCACTGGTCCTGATAAATCTAAAGTTTTAGACATATTTGCAAGAAATTGGAAGTTTTCCAAGCACGTGTGCTACCGACGCACATAAATTGCTTAGAATGAAGACCACCTATGAGATTATATATCTCTTTATTGTTTTTTGACAATGACATACTAATTAGCTCCTGAGTGTGATCCAGAAGGTGTATAATATTTGCAGAATTCCTCCACTATTGTTCTTAGATGAAAACATGCACACCTAGCAATTTCGATAATCTTGACATTCTCGCGTACCAGTTCACCATCCCGATTTTTATATAGGCTCAGAGAATGCTGATGTTTTTGAATATTATCCAGTGTGATGAGAGCCATCAGCCAGTTGTTATTAACAGGATCGGTTACAGGTTGGATCTAATAAAATAAATGCCAACATTAATAATTAAACGTTGAATATATATATATATATATATATATATATATATATATATAT